TTTATTTATAGTCTACAGAAGAGGAGACTGAGAGAAGACTTAATAGCAGGCTTCAACTACCTGAAGGGGGCTTTGAAAGAGGATGGAATTAGACTCTTCTCAGTGGGGGCAGATGACAGAACAAGGAGCAATGGGCTCAAGTTGCAGCAAGGGAAGTTTAGGTCAGATATTAGGCAGAATTTTCTCACTAGGAGGGTAGTAAAACACTGGAACAAGTTACCCAGAGAGGTGGTGGAAGCTCCAACCTTGGGGGGTTTTAAAACCTGGCTAGACAAAGCCATGGCTGGGATGATCTAGTTGGGGCTGGTCCTGCTTTGAGCAGGGGGTTGGACTAGATGACCTCCTGAGGTCCCTTCCAATCCTAACTTTCTATGAGCCTATGAATATCTGTCAGAAGCTGCTCCAATTCCTATTTATGCTGTGGTAGCCTAATTTGTCACTATATTGTCCTTATTAAATTAACTAGCCATTTATCCAGTGATTTAGTTAACTAGCATAATTAATAAATTATAGCATCCCAGAAATGTAAGGCTGCATTTTCATGTTTGAGGCAATCAAATCACATATAATCAAACAAAAATACATGTCCTTTGGTGTCTAATCAGCTGCATTATGCTGTCTGTCAACAGGAAGTTTTTCCTGTCTTCCAAACAGAAAATGTGGAGAACTCAACTTTTGAAGTTTAATGCACATCAGAGGTTTGGCTTCTGACCCACCCAATGACCCAAATCCAAGTATTCTTTGCACTGCCGTTCAAAAACATTGTTCAACAAAAGACACATTTAGCCAGCAACAACAAAAGGAAACTGAAGGTGAGAATAACGGAGCAATTTACAACAGGACAATGATTTTTTTAAGCTAGTATGATTTGATTTGCATGGCATTTTCCAGTGGCAAAACAGTTGAAATACCATTTATCTGTCTAATTACTGACCACAGACTCTTCCTTCAGTAGCCTACTGGTCAATCAAAGGACAACTATGAGCTACTTTTGTAATTCAAGTATGAAAAAGGCAAATACAATCTCACAAGAAATTTCCAGTAGAGATGGGGAAGTCTTATTGCCATTGTACAAGGCACTGGGATGACTTTATGTGGAATTCTGTACAACTCTGGTCACCCGTGCTGGAGACAGGGATTCAGACTGGAATAGATTCAGAGAAAGGCTGCAAGCCTGACGAGAATGGAGGAGGCTATCTTAAAGAGAAGTCTGAAAAAGCTTGGCTATATCTTAGTAAAGCTGCAAAGGCAGGAAGAAAGCTGCATATAACTATACTGGGGAAAAAACAGTAAGCTAAATAGTGCTGGTACGCCAGAGTCCAGAGGAGAGCCACGCGCGTGATCAGAGGGCAAGAGAACTGGCCTTATGAAGAGAGGCTGAGAGCCATGGGACTCTTCAACCTGGAAAAGCGCAGGCTCAGGGGTGACTTGGTGACAACCTATAAGTACATCGGGGTATGCATTAGGATCTGGGGGAACATTTGTTCACCAGAGCGCCCCAAGGGATGACAAGGTCCAACAGTCACAAACTCCTCCGAGACCGTTTTAGGCTGGACATAGGGAAAAACTTCTTTACTGTCCGAGCCCCCAAGGCCTGGAACAGACTCCCTCCAGAGGTGGTGCAAACACCTACTCTGGACTCTTTTAAGAGAAATTTGGATGTTTATCTTGCTGGGATCCTTTGACCCCTGCTGACTTCCTGCCCCTGGGGCAGGGGGCTGGACTTGCTGATCTTCTGAGGTCCCTTCCAGCCCTAATGTCTATGAAATCTATGAAGGGTAAAAATGGATACTATTTGGCTGTGAATAAATTTAGGCTCAAAATAACTCAGATCTTAAGACAGTCAGAGTCTGGATCAGCCTCACAAATGGATCACTTCTAGGTTATAGGCTGATCAGATAGATCTTGCAGATGGATACTGCAGCACCAGTGAACCAGACTCAATGACTGTAAAGGTCCCTTTGAGCCCTACCTATTCTTTTCTGTATACCTGCTACCTTACTGTGCCAAGCAGCACTGTGGGGTTTGGGAAAGTGGAATATGCAGCTATGCGAAGGAAGAACTGAGAAAACAGAACATGTATTATTTGGTCCACAGCCTTGTTACCTGTGACATCCAGGTGACATTCCAGCCTTGGCATCCAGGTGACATCCAGCCTTGGCATCCAGGTGACATTCCAGACTATATCAGCTTGCCCTTGTTATTTACATGGGTTATAGCATTAAAAGGCAAAGCTGTCACATGGTAAATAGGAATTAGTTTACCCCTTGAGTGAAAGAGAAAAAATATCTGGGTTCTGGAATAACTGATTACATGCGGAATATGGCCAATAAATTCTATTAACTCCACTCTAACTGATGGGGTGGAGAGGGAAAAACAATCCATCTGACATTGAAGAGCAAATCAAGGCTACACTGCAGCATGTTCAGCCACACTGATTATTGGATTTTTTTTTAATAAATAGCTCTATTTGGCTATGGACTCAATATCAGTGACCTGATAGCACAGATGACTCCAGTCCATGTCAGACAGACATTTGGAAAGCTCGTACAGGCATGAATGTACTGACAGTATAAAAAGCTAACACTAAGACCAATATTTTAGCTTTGTTGGGGTTTTTTTAATTCCAGTTCTTACAGCTCAAACTCCTTATGATCCCAAGATGACATCTTTAAATTTAAACTTGGAGCTTAACAGCGTGTTTTATTCTGCCAGTGAAAAGCTTTATTACTCTTTGCAATCATAAGGACAATTTTCTTTTTATTAAATATACTGGGCGAGTGGCAAGCCCATTTTTTTTTTGTAAAATGCCTGCTGTATTGGTTTTACTTATCAAGTCCCAAGTTTTTAAAAACAACCTACGTAGCAACTACAGCTATTTTTAGTACCACACTAATCTTTTCCTCCACTATTTTAGTGATAGGTCTGAATCTGGCACAGAGGAAGTTAATGTATTTTTTTCAGTAAAAGTCTAGACAATGTCAACGACATGATACATTGAGCTGCAGGGTATTGATTTGGGTCTCTCTGACTGGCAATTAATACACGCCCCCCCCCCCGGGCAATAAGCCCAGTTTAGGCAAACAAGCAAGCAAACAGCTTCCAGGATCATTACTGCAGACAGCATTTCTTCAGGGATCCACTCCTTGCAGCCCTTGGGAGTAGTCCCCTTAAGTCAACAGCACTATCTGCTGTGTGCAGAATGAAGGAAATGCTTAGATTTTGCAGACTAAGGACACTAAAACTGGGGCACTTTCCAAGAGGCTATTTACAATTTGTCCTTTCCTAGAGAATCACTTGATCTGTGCCTCTGCTGTCAATCTGTCACAGGGGTGGGCAATTATTTTGGGTGGAGGGCTACTTACTTTGACAAGCCATCAAGGGCCACATGACAGGCAGCCAGGAGCGGATAAATATTAATTTTCTAAATTTTTTAGGGGCCCCATGGGCCAGATAGAAGGGTCTGGCAGGCCGCATCCAGCCCCTGGGCTGCATTTTGCCCACCCCAATCTATCATATTTCAGGCAAGAAATAACAACTAAACAAGAAGGTCTTAATTCTGTTGTAGGATTCTTCTCCCATAATTCTCCTGTAATTTGTTTATAATGACTGTAATATTACAGATTTTTTTCACGTAAACACTTATTTTCTTCATATAAAGTGACATTTTTAAAAGGCGATGTCAGAAAGGAAAAGGCAGCAGCTTTCCCCACGCTCCTTCTTCAACCACTGCACCATGCTAAATTAAACAAACTGTTAAAATCCACAGATGCCAGGGCAGTTTTATTTTAGAATTAAAACTTTTCCTCCCCCCTTCCCCCCACCAAACACACATCTTCTCTGGTTGTATCAAAAATGTCCATAGCAAACAGGTCTCTTCACAGGAGATGCTCAGATAACTGCACACACCATGACAGGCCAAAGACTGACTTTAACCCTGAGTTTCTTAAAGGTAGTATGTATTTATTTCACCCCTAGAAAATTGTAGGCATTAGTCCCTCTCCTATCTCAGGATTTTTATAGTTAATTATATTCCAGAGGAAATGTATATTGTTATAATGGAAGTGCTGATGTTGCCTTATTTATTATTGCAGTTTCCAGTAGTTTTTGCCTGATAGTAACAGCTCATGTGTGTCAAGTCCTATGTTGCAGCAAGGGAGTGTGTGCATGTCTGGGTTTCAGTTTCACAAGTTGTATCAATGCTACAAGTAACCAGAAAAGCTGCAATGCTCCAATTGTTACAATTTGAGCAGAAAACCACAGATTTTCTTTGCTGGTTTATGCAGAGAACTAGCTCCTCACCACTATTCTTGTCTTTGCGACTACGTCCTTCACTTCCACCCATGGGTGTGGAGTCATCCTGCAGCTTTGCACCACACCACAGCCTACCAATTCACCCAGCGCAGGACGCTCAAAATAGCTGCGAATAGGGACATTCTGCTCTGCAGCAGTTTCATTCCACTGCAAGCAAGCAGAAGACAGTGAGGAGTCATGTTTTCACATTACCACAGTGGACCAGGGCACAAGTAACTTTCCCATACAACACTGAAGTTTTATCTCCAAGATAGTCTTGTGTTTTATTAGCAGAGTCAAGAAAAGAGCCTGAAGCCAGTATTTATGACACTACGACTTTGGGTCTTCAGCTCTTGACGTCAGTTGCTCAGTAAAAAAGGACTTCCTAGATTCTTTTCCCTTCTTTTCTGCTTCAAGTCCATCTCTTCACCTGCTGCAGACTCAAAAGAAACCAACCACTGTCAACTGCTGGAGTAGCAGCCATTTAAGAAGGAGCTCCTTTGAGTTACACTGGGTTGGAAGAAGTAAGGGCCATATCAACTATATGGCTATATCTCCTTGGAAATCAGTGGCTCAGCATCTTCAGCTGTTCTTTGTGTAGTTTGTGGGGCTGTTGCTGCCGCCAGGCTTTGGATAGTTTCTTGCTGATGCTGCTTCGCCTTGTTATATAGCAGGACTCCAATTGTTACTAGAACAGTTCCAATGGCTGAGAGACTTGTGATTTTGTTACTGAACACAATAATACTTAGCCAGATTGACAACGCATGCTTCACAGTACTAGCAACACTGAAACAAAACAAAATCAGTAAGGGACTGAAAGCTTTGAAATTTCCCACATGTAAAACTTGCCAACCTGTTCCAGCATGCATTATCTTTGCAGAAACCCAGATTCTGCTTTTCCTATATGGGCTAATCAGAGTGAGTGTGAGGTGGTGCAAGCAGCACTTCACTTGTAAGCAAGAACAGGTCTGCATAATAGACCTATGTGGGAATTAAATTTGCTTTTAAAAGTGGGGGCAAGGGGAAGTTAAACAAGACTGCAGCAGAATCCTATGTTCTCCACTGTCTAATCCATCCACTTAAGTGGTCCTACTAGAAAATAAATAGCATTCCATTTTAAAACACTGGTAAGCAGTTGTAAATATACCTACCTGATGCTGCTATTAATGCAAAATGAGGCTAAGAACTGTGCAGAACAGTCCCGCCGTGTAATATTATGGGCCAAATCCCACCCTTCTTGCACACAAGAACAGTAGTACAGTTGTCTACATTGGAGCTACAGACACAAAGGAAGTACAGGAGTGGTCCATGCTTGCATGCAGGATCTTGAGGGTTGAATTAGATGAGGGGGCTGGACTAGATGACCTCCTGAGGTCCCTTCCAACACTTATTTTCTATGATTTTACAGGGCATTTCATGACTCTGAAGTACAGGTAAAGCAACTTTCCAATCAGTTCCTCATTTGAGCTAATCTGAGCAATGAAAGAATAATATGGAAGTTATAGTGGTACCTGAAAGTGACAGGAGAAATTTTTCCCATCAAAGCATAAGCTGTGACGCTCTGAAGATGAAACAAGATTCCATCTATTAGGAGCAGTACAATGACATCCTGGTTATAACTGAAACTTCTTCCACTTTTCCCAACCACTGGCACATCCTAAAGCCAAAAAAAGGAAGATTTTAAGAGCACAGCTTACAGAAACATCTACACTGTCAAGTAATTTTCATAGATTTCATAGACATTTTCCCTGCCTATTGGTGGCATCTCCTTAGTACTGGAAATACCCAGGAATACTTAATCCAGACTTCAGAAGCCTGAACTGGAATTTTTTTTAAACCCTTTGAGATTTCTCTTCTCTCTGAAAAAAATGAGAGCCCAAATCTGTTTTCTTCAGACCTTCCATCACATCATTTAATCCTGTGTGAACATTTAAAAAAGGAAGTGGCACACACAGCAAGATACTTCTCTTAATTGCCCACCATGGTTAGAGCACTGTGTCACTCACATTGATTAGGAAAGATTCAGTTTTGTCATGTCATTTGAGAGAAGCAGCTGTGCTAGCCCATTTGGAATATACCGAATCCATAATTCACCCTCAACAGAACACACTGGGCTTTGAGTTAGTATCTAAACTCGTCCCGCTCATCCCCTTGCTAGGGCTTCTAGCAGAAGCATCATAACTCAGGACTGATCTGTTCTGACTCAGTCATACGGGCAAGTGCTGCAGTGGGACATCTTTTGAAACGATCTCTAATGCAGTTAATAAGGTTGCGATAATTGCTTTTGGCTTCTCTATCATACAGAAGAGAACAGGACAAGATTACTGCCATCCCAACATTTTCTCCACACCATATAATATGTGAATGTATGGTTTCTTTATGGTTGTAAGTCAAATTTTTCTTTTTCTGCATTTGGTTTGTGCAGCTTAGTACTTGGAACACAGAACCTGGAGACAGGAAACCAAGAGTCCTAATTCCCTCTCTGACACAAACCAGCCAGAAGACGATATCGCAGTTTCCCCTCTCATAACAGACTGTCAAGTATCCTATGAATACAGTCAATATCAAAAAGGCTAGCAAGAACACAGGACTAATTTTTTTAAGTTACTTTGAAGGCCAAATGAAACAATGACTTGTTCCTTATATCTTGAAACCAACGTCAGGTTTTTTTTTGGTTTGTTTGTCAAATCATGCTTGCATGAAACTGTTTCTTGAAACACCCTTTCTCAGCCTCTTAAAACATCACCAGCCACACACAGGATGAAGTGCATGCCAGCATGATTTTAAAGAATAGGAAAGGTAAACTGAAAGTAAGTCATCTGCTCACAGGTCAAAAGGAAAAACACACAGCATTGTTAGCTAATGAAAGTTACCATGAAAAATATCCACGCTGGAATTAGCATAATGACTGCTGCAGCACTGGTGTAGAACTGAAGCTCTGGGGCTCTATAAAGAGAGACAGACCATTAAAAAAAATGAACGTTTTCAAAAGTTATCACTTAGTTATTGTCAAAGAGCTGTATTGAATTTGCATCAATGGCTCAGCACAGACACCTTAGTGCTTAAAACCATTTTTAGAAAAAAATCAGCTAAAAAGCCTGATGAAAGACACAAAAGACTCTTAATAGAGCTAAGAGTTTGCTCTCCCTGAATCCTGAATTTATCAAAACAGATGCTTTCAAAGGTTCCAGTGGTTCCTACCAATACAGGATTTATTGAATGTTTAAAAAAATGTTTTTAAAGCTAATGATTGTGAACAAGAACGATATAGTGTGATATTTAACTAGTGGTTCAAGGGTTCTGTAGTTCAAGTATGGAAAAAACCTTTTGGGACTGTAGCAACTTTAAAAGGAGTGGCATGCTGTCAGTCATGGGCAGAACAGGGAGTTTCTTTAGCATTAGACAACTGCCATTTTGGATATCTTAAAGGAATTTTAGATTATCATCTCTTACACACTAATGGTTATGGTTTGGGTTTTTGGTTTTGTTTGTGGAAGACTAACTGCTTCTATTTCTGACATAAAATTGTTTAATATTGATATGGCACAGCTGTTATCAGAAGCTGTGAAGCAAGACAGAGGCCCTGTCCCAGTCCTACTAACTCTGAAAACCTGGTTTCCTGATGCTCCCCACGGCCCTTCTCCAAAAGGTATATTTGAAGCAACAAATACTTACGAAAAGCGATACTTGTCTCCACTGAGCAGCTTTTTGGAAAAAACATTCTGCAGACTGGGAAAAGAAAAGCAAGAAGTTTACCTGTAGATACTGCTTATAGTGAATATATGAAACTATGAACTTAATAATATCCTGTGACAGAAAGTGAGCTTTTCTATACAACTCCGGCCAACAGCTGCCTTTTCTACACCAGTGGTTCTCAATCTTTTTAAACTCGAGGCACCTTTCAACAAACTCAAGGCACCCCTCACAAGATGCCAGCTCTTAGTTCTCACTCAGTCTCTCTCAATGACTACAAAATAATACTAGCGCAATTATTCTGTTGCAAAACTTGAAAAAAAAACACCGGTCAATGTTTTTAATGCTATGGATTCCTATTTGAAAACTCAGGGATTATTTTGTGAATTGTGTTTCCACACCTAACAGTGCTAATATTGCTGAAAGGATCTCAAGACACCCCCAGCAGTACAGCACGCTGGTTGAGAATCGGTGGTCTGCACAGTCCTTCATGGGTTTAAATAGAATAGAAAAGGCGGTCTTAGAGGCAGAGTATATTCTTTTCTTATATGTCTCATTAACATGGCTGCCCTATAAACACACTGCAGAATGTTTTGTTCACCCATTTTACAAGCAATTTGTTTTAAGTTTCCCATTTTATAAATAGCATGCGATTCACTATTGATACTTTCATTTCTTTTTCTTTCTTTTTTTAAGTTTGAAGTGAGACCAGTATAGAAAGCAACATGAAATGCCATACTCCTATTTAGGAAACAAATCAGAATTTGAAACATTCAGAATGAAGATGAAAGGGTATCAGGTTAGTATGTGGTCTAATAACTGTATTTCTTGTTCTTCAAGTAGCTAAATTTCAGGTTTGTACTTTACTTTTTAGATTAATATACATTAAGCATTATTCTGTTTGGTAATTCTCTCTTAAGTTTATCTGAATCTAAAAGTGTCAGTTACCTTTTCTCTGCATCACCTCACTGACTGTAACTTTCAGAAACAGAATCCTTTTAAAATTAGTATTTGGTATTTTAAATGGAAACACGTTTGCTATTTAAGGAGCTTGACTGGGAAACTGAAGTATTGGTTTTCTTTTTCCACTCAACTCCCCTCTAAAGCAATTAATTAATTAGAAATTAATACAAACACAGCATATCCAGCCTGTGACGATGCAAAAGGGCATGTAGAAAAAATGGTGCAAGGACATTTGAGCTGCAATGCACTGTAAGTTGCCAAAAGCAAAGAGGCTGCACCCAATTTCCATATACATTATTTCATAAAAATACATATGCATCCAGGCTTCTTTCATGCCTTATTTTGCATTTTTCCTGAGAGATGAAGAGAACTGATTTGAAAGAGACCTGATTTAATCACTGCCTGGCAGTCTGTGTTCCCTTACATCTGGCTAGTGGCAAAGTACAAACAATCACACCGAAGAGAATGGAGAGCAAAGCTCAAGATCACCCAGTAGACCTATTTTGTTTTCAGGGGAGGCTTTGGACCCCTAACAAAGTCCATAGGCAGAACTTCTAGAGGGAATGAGAAACTGGAGCTGAACACCAATGCCACTGTACTCCAAGAGCAGGAAACAATAATGCCCCCCCCCCCATAAATGAGTTTGAGTCACAGGAATGGGATTTATAAACTAAAGAGTCTCAACAGTTTATCTAGTACCATATTTATTAAGATAATCTCTTGCCTTGAACATATTAAAACATCACAAAGCCTCTTTTTGGTAGAGCTCATTCTGTTTACTTAGAAATCAGATATGATATGGCTTAGTATCAAGAGAAAAGTGTACCCCCAGAAGTGCATTACAATATCATGCCCTTTGGATCACTTTGAATCTGAACCAAGACAATAATGATTTACACTGGCTGTTGTTTTTGTCTTTCACGTGTGATCCAACTCCCAAATCATTGTTAATGTTGCCTATTAAAATCTTATCCTAATGTTCTAGCTTCAGTTACCTTCTTAGTGTTATTAAAACATGTATTTGCTTAACCGTAATTTTAGAGTCACTAGCACTCTTCAAAAATTCACAAACACTAACATACTTATATTTTTGGTGTTTCAAGATGTCATTTTTTGCCACCAGTCACAACCAATTTGCATACTGATAACTCTAGTAAGTGGCTTATGGCATGGCATAGGTTCTGGATCACGGTAAGTACACATGGATTTTACGAGTACCGGAGTTCTTTAACCACTGTGTGCTGACATGTATGGTGTTCCCATATCCAAGATAAAACACATTTTCTATTAGTATACTTCTCTCCGTAGCAAAAATGAAAACACTGCACATTAAGCACAACCTGGACAAGACAGCTCTAGAACGCAAGATGGCTTAGTTTACCAAATAACTACAACTTTTTATTGTGCACATGCAATCTCCCTCACACCTTACCAATCCATGATGTTAGTCGACAAAGCTGCTGAAAAACCCAGAATGTTGAAGCTGAGTTCTGTGGCTGTACATAAAGCTAGTCCGCCCATGACTGGGATGAGAGACAGATTGACCAGCAATCCTGTGAGTAGAAAGAAGATTTAAACACTGGACTTTACATTGCCATACTTCCATTGCCCCACATCGCATCGCTTGTGATTAGGAAAGAAATTGGTCAACTCCAGGTCAACTTTTCTAGTAAAAAAAAAAATACTTTTAATTTCATAAGTGTGGATTTTGTTACACTTCAGTCATAAAAGATTATAGACAAACTGCTGAACAGCACTTAAAAGATCATCTGATTCACCAGCACACTTGATCTAAAAAGAAAAATGACAGGTGACCTCCCTAGTCTTGACTTTCTTGTCAGTCATCAACTCGCCACCTGTCCTGTGGCTTTGCTAAACCTGCCTCCTCCTGGCTTGTATCAGCACTCTGCACCTCTGACTTCAAGTCACAAAGAGTGCAGATGACTGAGCAGGTGTGAGGTCTCCTTCAGGAAAGAGACGGATGCAACTACAATTCAGCGGGAATCTAAGGAATGATGCGGGAGGCCATTTCTGTGCATCAGCTTCAGGCTGGAGGCAGTCAAGATGCCAGAAACCTAAAATGTAAGTCACATTAGCAGCTTGCCTTCAGAGCTGGAACATGCACATCATTTCATTTAAGGGTCTAACATCGGGACACTAGTTTCTTGCCAGAAGAAAAGTATCCAACTAACACCATCCTTCTACAAATTACTTTATTGTTTCTTGCTAGTTCCATTTACAATTCAGGCTTTTTCAATATGAATGATATTTCCAACTGATCTAAACATGGAACATGCTCAAAACCATTTTTTTTTTTGTCAAAGGCAAAGCAATGGAATAAAACACTTACCAGTATATTCTCCTAAAATCATCCGAGACATGATAACAGTAAAAATAGGTGCAGAGCTTTTAACTGTTTCAGCAAATGAAACAGCCACATTTTTCAGGCTGACCAGCCCTAAAACTACTGTTGCAAACCTGGGGGTGGGGAGGAAAAAAGACCCATTAAGTCCAGCAGAAAATAAAGCAATGCTTTAAAAAGCTGATTTTAGGTTAGGCATTTATTATACGTAGTTACTGCAGCCTAATTCTTTTCTACACAGGTTTTTACTACAGGACCTAAATGTCTGCTACATGTCTAGCCCTTTCTTTAATCAGAAAGCTAGTTACCCTTTAAAAATAATGCTGCAGGACTTGGTTACAAAATAGATCCTTCCAGTTTAGTAAAAACATTCTTAATGCACTTTGGTTTTGCGGTGTAGAAAAGCAAGCCACGCTTTATTTTAACCCCATCCAAGTCTGCAGTACATGTTCTCTTCTAAAAGGTGTGTATTTGAAAATAAAATGTAAATTAATAGCTGATACTACACATTTAATAGAGTTTGCTGGGAAAGGGTAACGTGACACATCATACCACAATAATTAGTAATGACCAAACATCTAGCAGTTTTAAATAAGAATAAAATATCAGTCTTAGAAGGAAGAAATGTCATTAAAAAAAGAAAGAAGAAGAGAGGGATATATTTAAGATAAAGGACCTAAAAGTCATAGTGAGTGGAGCATGTTCCAAAAGACTTCATGTCAGAAGAAAGCAAGTAATATTTAAGAAAAGTGATTAAAGAATAAATCATGAGATTCTGAAAGATTCAGAACAGTTGGCACTAACTGTGCTCTCCAATCTTTTCTGTGGACAGAAGGGATCATGGACGCAAACACATATAGTGATATTATACTTCAGACAACCCGCTGGGAAGGTTCAACCATTTACCTCATCAGTCCAACAAACAGCATTATCATGATGAAATTGGGTGGGTAAGAGATACGTGTCTTGTGCTGATACAAACAGCACGGTACAAACATTTTTACACAGCCAATGAAGGTGGTTGAGAGCATTTGAACAGCACCTGAAGAAAGATGGGAAATCAAGACCGGTCAGAAGATGACTAGAGTATCAAGCTATCTCAAAGTATGATGCACATTTTTCATTAGAGGCCACTGGAGTTAGACATGGCCGGTAAACGGGCAGCTTCATAAAATGCTGATCAAAGCCCTGTCCTTCTGCATCTACCCTCGGTGTGGCAGATGAGACAAAAGGTGGCAAGATAACTACAGGCATTAAAAAACATGGCTCCATTAGAGAAACTCCCTTCTTCAAAAAACAACAAAACCGGTAGATAAAAACAGCTGCTGTCCAGGTTCATATGAGGACTAAGAACTTTTGCAATTCAGCAACACTTTGGTCTCTTGGGCCTCTAGAGGTTCAAACATTACAAACAATGTATTAAAAAATAGACTTTAATTTGAGAGAGAGAAAACCACTGTCTTACCACATACTAGAGCAAGCAGAAAAATCAGGCACATTTTTGTCTACATTTACCCTTGAAGTAGTCTACGCAGATTACCTTGCAGTTCAATCCCCATAGCACCTCTGTAAAAGAGCTTTTATTCCATTTTACAGAGAGGGTAACCCAGGATGGGAGTCCCTGTCGGTGCTGAAAATGGGACTCCCAAGTTCCCAATTCCAATCCTGTTGCTCTGACTGCTTAACTGTCTTTCTTACACCACAGAAACCACCTATTACATTACTTCAATGGCAAACATTTTATTGCAACTGAGTTCTTAAATGAAAACCAGTTACCTAGCATGCTGGGCTCTCCCTCCAGCAGTGAAAGTATGTACTTGTTAAGGAAGAGCGTGCAGAAGCTGAAGAAAAACCACAAGGTGAGGTAGATGAGAGCGTGGGAATTCCAGATGCCCAAGTCCGACTCAATGACGGTGGTCTCCGTGATAGTGATTTTCAGTACGTTCTCCTCCGGTACGCTGTCACTCCTGGCAATTACAAATTTCTCACTCCGATTAGCAAAGAGGGAGTCCAACGGAAACAATGCCTTCCCCTTTGGCTTCTCTTCAAGAAGGGGTGGATCAGAGTCCTCCAGAGTCTGAGTGCTCGTTACAGTCGACATGCCGATGTTCAGAGACTACTGTTCAGACTGAATAAAAAACGCAACATTGACTTTGTCTAGAGCTTCACAAGGAAACAAAAATAAATCTCACATGGTTATTCTTTCAGTTCCGTTGGTCCATAAAAGTGTATCTGGTCCTCCAACCAACATCTTGTTTAAAAATAAAACTTCAAATGCTTCTTCCTGCAGTCTGTTGACCTTTCTGCCAAAAATGAAAAAAAAATAAAGCAAAGGAGTTCTTCACTACTTAATGTCATTTTAAAATATTCATGGCATAGAAATGCCATGTTTCATTTGCAGTTTATGAAGGAGACAAAGATTTGCATTTGTTGCATTGCTTAAGACGTACATTTCTACTTGTTAATGTGATCATAACATGCCGAAGTACAGATCTGCCTCAACTCCTTTTCTATTTCGAGACAGTGCCAGTTTTAGTTTGGGCAGTGCCAAACTAAAACAAAACAGGCCTCTGGGTTCCAGAGTTCTTGCTCATATATGTATTTATTACCTTCCTCTGTAATTATTTTATTCTCATTCAACCTGCTACTTTACATTGTGTCTGGAAAATGTCTTTACAGGTCACAATTCTGTGCAGGAGTGCATTTATGGTACTATTCCCATGGTTTACACTGCCATAGCCATTTTTTTTTATGATATACAAAAATGCATAAAGCAGACAGTGCAGAAAACTACAAAGGGAGAGAGGACTTTAATCAGCTCTCAAGGAACACATGCTTTTATACTTTTTGATCTTGTAATGATATAAGCAGAACAGGAAAAGAAATTCCCAGGTGTCTGAGCCTTCTGATCATAAAACAAAGAAAAGTGGTGTGGTGAATGACGTGTAGCATGGGTACTTCAACCACACTGTAGTGTAACACAAGGAACTACAGCAATCCTTACAGTACAATTCTGGAAAAAAGAACAAACCTGGGAATACAGGTATCTAATTGTTTCTCATCTGAGGATACACTTCTGAACTGTAAAATAAAGTTGGGTGAACCTATTCTGCCACATTAGTTGCATTACAGTGTTAATGTCAAGCAATGTATCAGTTGCACAAATAGGCCCCAACATTGGTAAAAGGAGCTGAACCAGTCTGTCTTAATCAGCAACAATAAAAGCCACCTTTGGATGTTTGTCTTTGCAACTGATACCCAAAATACAGACTATCAAAAAGACAGAAGAAAATGGAATAGGTCAGACAGCAAAGGTCTTTCATTACAAGAGATTAGGGTTGCACAGCAGCAGGTTTTATAGGATTGAGCAACCTGGAAAATGCATTTTAGAATATCAGTGCCTGAGAGGACACATCACTCACTACACAGACAAAGTTACTGGCCTGTATAGAGACTGCCAAAAATAGCACTATATGGTGGAAAGTTTAACTATGGACATCTTGGCAATACTGTTACACAAGGGTGCCTCTGAACAATGGCAGCACAGTAAACGCTGCCTGGCAGGTGAACACACACAGGGGCATGCACCTCGACTGACTTGTATTGGCTAAAATGCTTACTGAAAAACTGGCCAGGGCACATATTTTATTTTCTTTGACTTTTAAAGCTAGAACTTGACCTGGACATTGCAACCCACTTCAGACACATGGATGAAGCGGTTAAGACATTTCTTTATCCCATCCAAGCAGCTGTTCATTTTGCATTGAAGTTTTCACTTCTCAGATTTTTTATTCATCTTACTTCAACAAAGCAGCAAGAAGACTGCCTCTCCCCAAGCCCTTTTCCAAGAGCAGAACAACGCGGTGTAATAGTGCACTAAGAGACAGACCTCTCCTAGGCTGCTATCAGTAGGTTCATGCTGATCCAGATATGCTTCCAGGGGGACTTAATCCCACTTATGAGCTAAAGTGTTTTTCTTAAAGGACAGATTCGTTAAGACTGCTGCAGAAGAAATTCTGTTCAAACTCAGTCCCAACGCTCTTAAGCACCCCAGTTTGCATGAGGCCAAGTAGCATAGTTAAATGGAAAGCCCCCTTTACCCTTTGCTCTAGTGTCATCGTCGGGAGCAGCCCACCACATCTTCACGCAGGCATGAAGAACAGAGCCCTGAACTAGGAGGATCCCACGACCAGAACACGAGGAGGTTCTGCAGCTGTTCAAGACAGAAAGCCACAAATGCTTGATATCTCCCCCTCGGGGGAAAAAGCTAAAAGCTTTGTGTTACACAGTAGAGGTATTCAGGCTCAATATTTATAAGGGAACCCACTGCCGTAATATCAGAGCGCCCCACTGCTGATCTGGAAGGCTCAAAGCAAACAAATGAGGAAAACGTCCCAGAGTAAGTTCAGTGCTGAAGTTCACTGATAGGAACACCTTTCCAAACAGCTCTGGCTGTTACCCGATGAATGCAAATGGCAGAACAGCCCGTTTCCCAAAGGCTTTGGGCTATTATCTGAAACCTTTTGGGGGAAAAAAAACAAAGGAGAAGGCTAAGAAACATCAGGACTTTCAGGCACCCCAGTGTACAGTGAGGATGCAGCCAGTCAAATGACTCCTCAAAGCACCCTGCAGCAGAGCAGTGAGGCATCTCATTGTTCTAGTGTGGCTGATCCAGTAAACGCTGCGGATATAGACATATATTACAACTATACTGATATCAAACGATACCAATATAAACATATAGGACATATCCAGCCAAGGACATCTGTGTTTTTTCCCCCAGGGACAAATAAGAGCAGCACAATATGTGCTGCTCCTACTTATACCCAGGGAATACCCATGCACACATGCACTGCTGTGTAGCAAGTTGTCCCAGGTGGGGTAGGGGAGGCTGGGGCCTGGAGGTCTCTGGGGCTCCAGTGGCAGGGATCTGGGATCTGGCAGCAGGGAGCCTGTCTGGCAGCTGGAGTTGGCTCCAGCTAGCTAAGCTCTGGTTTCAGGTGGTGCATACTGCCACCGCATGCATCACCCTGCTTTTTAGGTGTGGCTTTTTTTCATACCGGGATCTCCCAGTGTCAACCCCCCTTCCCCCCGCAAGCACACTGCTAATTAGCAGCATGGGAAACACCTGCACGTGCAGAGTGTGCAGCACTGCAGTCAGGTCTGCAACGCCGCATACTGGTCTGTGGTGCAGCATACCACTTGTCTGGACCCACCCTCACAGCACAACTTAAGTCTGCATAATTCTGTATCCATGCAAATGTAGCAAAACCACTGCAGCTTTAACCCTGTTTCATTCAGGTCTAAGGTAAGGCAATTAAGCAAACTTGCATCCCTAAGAGATCATACACTTGTAACAGTTACAGTGTAACAGCTGCTGCCCACCCCCAGGCAGCTGCTCCCTTTCCTTTTAAAGTGGTTAAAAAACAGAATTGTCCATATTCTCTGTATTCCCTGTATGCAAGAGAAACAAGAAATAGTGGAGGGAAGCTAAGCTGCTGCTTAGCCAAATCTCAATTGTTAACTGGTACTTGTAAATCTGAGATGTACTGTTTCTGTTCTCAAGCCTTGAGAAGCATGTCAACTACTGTATCGTATTGCCTGCATTCTCCCTGATTCAGTGAAGAATATGCTCCTAAATTCTTACACCTCAAGAGAGTCTCTTATATCAATGACCCAGGAGGCAATAAAAAATTGTTTCTACTATTAAAGCTTTTTTAGTCACTGGAACTTGCCCATATCCACACAGCTACTCAAGTGGGAGGCTTTGCAGGACTGAGCTGTAAATATATGCAGAACATGACAGCCAAAAGAAATGTGTACAAGAAATTACTTTAAAGCCCTGGGGAATAAACTGGAACAGATTATGGTAGCTGCCAAGCCAAGAGAGAGATTAAATGTCATAAAATATTTATCTTGAATATTCATAGCTGTTTAATGTACAGAAGAGCTGGACTGAGTCTCTTAAGGTCACTGCTCTGCTTACTGAACTTTACTAAAATTAGAAAAGCCAAGCTAGTGGGTTCACTGCCACGTGTAGTGTAACTATGCCCTGCTGTTGAGGACTTGATTTTAAAGGAAAAAAAAGATTTAGGAACAAAAACTAAGGAGGTTACACAGCAAAATATCTTCTTAGGGCAACATGCCTCTGAGCTTGCAAAATTAACTGAATTCTTATTGCTGCAAAATTGAGCTACTTCATTTAAATGGGATTTAGAACAATGTCAGGAGAATAAAGGAGAATAGGGGATTTCCAGCCACTCACAAATCAATCAGACTGTAGTCCCATGAAGCTATTTCTATACAGACATTAAGCTTTCAGGATATTAAACACGACACTGAAAAAAAGCCACGCTTTCTGGCCTTGAAGGTGGGTCTCAACTCAGCTCAATTTATAGTAATCCACTACTTGTCGATTCAGAACAATACTGGCAGATCTGCTAGAGGACTCTCAGTCTCTGTTACTAGGGCTGTCTTTCCACATCACACTGTTGTTTTGATCCAGCAGCAGTGCGAGAAGTAACATTTCACAGTTCCTGCTCCACAACCACTTAGAGACAATAACTGCAAAGTGCAAAACAAGAACTGTCTGGTGGAAAGGGAAACCATCACACAACAGCTAAGGGTAATAAATAAAAGCTCTCTCTACAAACTGCAGGGGAGTTAGGTTGGCAGAATGAAATCAGTGTTGGAATTTAACCAAGACCTTGGGAAAAGCAGTACAGCACTAGCGATAAGACAGGAGTGTTACCAGCACCCAGGTGCTCAAGTGCCACTGCTAGTGAAAGGAAGACTGCCACCTTTTGAATCTGCATTATCCTCCACCCGCCCCCATACACCTGGGATTCCCTTAAGTATTCTAGTGATGTACTCCAACACGACCAAAACATGCTGGGATCGTAAAGGCTGAGCTTAGCTGTGACCCATCGGCACTCACCCTATAGATTGGATGTTAAGCCAAATAGTGGCCAGAACCTGTGGTTCAAATGAACCCAGAAAATCATGTTTAAAATATTCCAGGTGTGCAGGGTTTGTAGTCATCCTTGACCTTTTCCCCCCATTTAAATAAAAATACTGCTCTTGGGTTCCTACTTTTAAATTAAAACACTCCTGAATATTTACTGTACTTCCCCAAATCCAAGACAAGGTGCCCCCATATCAGCATGGAGTGCGGGGGAAGCAACACCTTAGATTCAAGTACCAGCCTGAAGCAGGCTCAAGACCAAAGCCAGAGCTGAGCTGCTGCCTGCCCCACGCTGGGACGGCTTGTTTGGCAGGGGAGGGAGCTCACAGCAAGGGGAGCTGGGGGAGTCTGAAGGGAAAGGGGGTCTGGCCCCTTGCCTCCCACCACAGCAGTGGGGAGGGACAAAATGAAGACAAACTTCCTCTAATTCAATTCTATACATGGCAATTTATAATTTTCCACCTACAGAATCTAATTATTAGGGGAGGTCCTCTAAAATTCAAAGTGGTCTTGGATTTGGGTGAATACAACAGAATGAAAGGTATTTTCACAGCCTTCCTAACACTGCCATAATGCTACAGTAACACAAGCAATGAAATAAAATGAGGCTTTCGACCTCAGCAACATTTTTACGCCCTATTTCATATCATTCATTAAAGAGTATGACATTCAGTAAAGGTTCCCACTATCAATAAAACAAGAGAAAAAAAAGTATGCATGTACCCCCAAAATTACTGACCTGCTGCCTTCAATTGACCGGAAAGTCTTAAATTGGCTGAAACAGTTCCCCCATCTGGGATTAATTCAGTCTTCCTCCTTTGGTACCAACCAGCGGCTGACGTTCATCAATAGATGAAAACGTGGCAGTGGCTGGGAGACTCGTCCTGTTGGATAACACATACATTAAATCTTCTGGCTCATAAAAATCAGCAGCAGGCAGCGTGCTTTTTGCTGTTCTCCATATCACCCCCTAACAGTCCAAATGAACTAAGAATAAATCACCGCACATGGAAACAAGTAAATAAATAATATCCAGTAAAAGCTTTCCACTGGCTTAAATCAATACCGAGGGTACAACAGCTAGATAAAAATCTAGCTGAAGTGTCTCTTTGCTACATATGAAAACGTCACACTTGTCAACAAGTAAAGCAGCCTCGGAGGCCCACTGCCAACAGCGGTCCGTTCACGCAGCCTTAGAAACAGCAACACTTTTGGGAGGATGTTATGGCATAAGCCCAATGTTTGTAGAAGTTGCTTTCGAGAAGGTCACAACAGGCATTTAGAGCCTAGAGCACAGCAGTTCTCCAACTGGTGAAGAAATCCGCACTTCTAGAGAAAGAGAAAATGCAGATGGGGAGCAGCAGTGCAGATGAGCAAGGCTACTGATAATTCAACCCCATTACCTATAGTTCTTTGGGGGCAGGAAAACTTCATAATAAGCCATAACGCTGCACATTAATGCAACTGGCCAGGGCTATGGCAACTTAATCAATTGGTCTCAAGTAGAGCTGATATAGCAGCACAATCTTCCAACAAACTTAAAAAAAAAAAAAAAAAAAAAAAAA